CATGGAACCCAATATGGGGCTTGAACTCACAACCCTAAGATCAAGACCTGTGCTAAGATTGAGAGCCAGACACTTAACCAACTGAGTCATCCAGGTGCTCCTAAACAAATAGATGTATGTTAAAAATGCCTTCCCCAAAACCTTTCAAAGCCTTTAAAATTCTAGAATATTTAACAGCAATAGAGGAACAGCACCTTCAGTAAGGAAAACTGAACCATGCCCTGGCATGTCTGCTCTAAACTAACTAAAAGTACTGAACTTAGACTATAAGCAGATTCAATACTAGGACTGTAGTTCCCAAACTTTGCTGCAAATTGGAATCATCCAGGGAGCCTTTTAAAAATCCTGATGCTCAGACTGCATTCCATGCCAATAAAAACAGAATGTCTTACAGTGGATGCCAGGCATCAGTGTTTTTTAAAGATTCCGAGATAAGGGGCTCCTGGGGGGTTCAGTGGGTTACGGCCTCTGTTTTCAGTTCAGGTCATGATCCCAGGGTCCTGGAATGGAGCCCCGCATCGGGCTCTCTGCTCAGCAGAGAGCCTGCTTCCCCCCCACCTTCTCTCTCTCTCTCTCTCTCTGCCTGCCTCTCTGTCTACTTGTGATCTCTGTCTGTCAAATAAATAAATAAAATCTTTTAAAAAAAAAAAAAGATTCCGAGATAATCCCAATGTGCAACAGCTTGGAAACTACCTTGCCAAGAATTTTCTTTGTTGTTGTATCCCCAGTACCCAGCATACTGATATTAGGAAGCACTTAATAAATGCCTATTAAATAAAGAAAAGCATGAATTGAGCAAAAATATGCTTTCCTTTAAAAATCCATAAGAAAAAGTCTAGGACATTTTTACAGCAATAGAACTTTCATAAGGAAAATTATCTGTCTTACCCTTCTCAAAGTATCTCACTGCTATTTGCAGAGCATCTTCTCCTTGATCATCAGCATGTCCATAATCCTCTGGTGGATTGTCTTGTTCATCATTCAGGTTGTGCTTTGAGTCATCCAGGTCTTCTTTTTCTTCCCCCGCCAGATTAGTCTGATAACTATCACTAACTTTCGAAGTCCTCTTTTGAGCCTGAGAGTCCTTAACTCTCTTTTGAGATGACATTATGGCACATGCTCTATACAGAAACAAGTGTCAAGTTACCATTAAACAAACCATCCCTTTTTACTCCACAAAGACAGGAAGCATATCTGCTTTGTGTTCCCAACAGTTAGTACACAATACCTAGGATACAAATAATACAGACACACACAAACACAAAAACCCTAACAACCATCCAGGCAACAAAAAGGCTAACTTTCACAGATGCCCTTGACCTAAACAGGAATAGGGAGAAACAACTCTCCAGGGTAATACTCACCAGTTGAACAGGACTTCTTGTGGAAAAAAATCAAGCACAAGCAACATAGCAAGTTCTCTTAAAACGGCTCTACCACAAAATCAAGTCGAAAACTAATCCATTTCATACATTCAATCTTACTTTTTCCACTCACTCCTATTTTTCTCCACCCCCCCCTTGATTTTGTTTTTAATCTTTTACACTCTCCACTTCATGAGTGCTAAGTTAAAACAGCTTAGTTCAAAAGTGAAACTGGTGACCAAACCAAGGACTCTCACAACAGAATCATTCCCCATTAATTAAGTCATTTATCCAGTAAATAATTATTGAACATCATCAAAAACAAAGCACAGTTTTAGTTACTAAGGATAAAATAAAACAGTCAAGGTCTCAGATCTCCTGAAACTTATGGGGGTAGGGTGGGAGGAGTGTGAGAGAGGAGAGTGCCACCATCTGATTTAAGACTTTCTAGCTGCAGTGTGGAGAACAGAATGTTGGGAGTCAAGGAGTGAAAACAGACGAATTTTTATTTTTATTTTTTTACTTTTTTATTTTTTTAAAAAGATTTTACTTACTTATTTGACAGAGAGAGAGAGTGCAAGAGAGGGAATACAAGCAGGGGGAGTGGGAAAGGAAGAAGCAAGCTCCCAGCTGAGCAGGGAGCCCCATGCAGGACTCAATCCCAGGACCCTGGGATCATGACCTGAGCCGAAGGCAGATGGTTAACATACTGAGCCACCCAGGTGCCCTGAAGGCTTTTTAAAAAATTCGTCTGGGGGCGTCTGGGTGACTCGGTCGATTAAGCGGCTGCCTGTATTCCGTCTCTCGCTGTCTCTCTCTGTCATATAAATAAATAAAATCTTTTTAAAAAAATAATTAGTTAAAATTTAAAAGCCTTCACCAGTCCAGAAGAAATATGACTGTAGTCTGAACTAGGCCTAAGATAGCGGTGGACAACGTAAAAAATGACTGATACGTTTTGGAGATATACTGGGCAAGGCCGTGATAACAGGATGTACGGAAAAGGAAAGAGAAGAACCCAGAAAGACTTAAGTTTTGGCTTCAAATGGGAAAAACTAAGGAAATCGTTGGAATGACAGTTACTCAATCACACCTCCCTAGAACATGAGGCCAGAGCTTGAGAGCGATATGTGTATCTAACCCAATGGGGGGTTCCGAGTTCCAAGTAGTTTCCTGGGGGGGTCCGAAAAAAGAAGGACGGGAGAGCAGCTTCTCACCCCATCCAGCTGAACTGTCCCATCGCCTCCCAGACACCCAGCCCGTCACAGACCGCCACTGCAGAGAGCAAACTCGGCCAGGACGACCGACCCAATGGACAGTTATCTGAGCTGGGGAAAAAGCCCGATCCCTGCCACATCTTGCAGAAGAGTTGCTCAGAAATCAGGAGAGTCCCTCTGCTCTGAGAGTCCCCACTTCGCGCGGTCTTTAAAAGTAAAAGTACCTCACCTAACACACTCCTCAGTCGCAAAGCCTCAGGAATCCGAACACTGCCTCTCGGATTCAAAAGAGCGGGCCCCGCCCCGCGCATGCGCTTCTTCAGAGACCCAGGCTGCCCCAGGCAGAGCGGCGCGCTCTGCTGAAGCCTGATTGGTTGGGTTACAACTCAACGGCGCGAGGAGGCGCGCGGGCGCCGACGCTGACGCAGATCCAATCCCGAGAATCTCTTGCCCCGCCCGCCGCGGGTAGGGGACCCGCAGTTTGTAGACCGTTGCTGCTGGAGATAGCTGATTGGCTGGCGTTTCCACGGTCCTAATAATGTTCGCATTCGTCATTTTGCGTAACTTGCTGCAATTAGTGTCCTTATTCCTGAATTTAACAAGAGTAATTACAGTGATAATTTTGCTCAGATTGATCCTCAAGTATCGGAACTTATAGGAAAATATGAAACTGCAAACTTCGCAATAAGGGCTGCTTATCTCTTGCTGAACAAGAGACTTGGGTTATTGAGTCTATGACTTCTGAAGCCGTCGCTTTTCCCAGGCAAAGTTCCGGGGTGGGAGGAAAGGACGGCTGGAACTGCCCTCTTTTCACCGAGGGCGGGCATACATATCTTCCAGGATTTGCCAAAAACCTGCGTCTTAAGCTAGATGTGGCACCTTTCACGTAACCTACCAGGCAACACATACAGATTTATAACTTTGAGGAATCAATGAGTCTTAAAGAAACTGGCGGAAACAGCAACAAGGGTTTAGTTTGAGACCTGAGCCTAGTCCCTACTTTAATCTCTTACTAGGTAGGAATTAAAGAGGAAAGGTAAATTAAATGGCTCTCACTGATTTTTTGAGGCCAAAACATACCCATGAACTGAGCAAAACTGTAGAAGGAAACTGCAATCAGGGAGAAATGAAGAATCAAAGATTAAGTTGTTATATTTGGGAAAGACTACACCAGAAATTACTATTTACCACATCTTATATGATTTTCAGAGTACTTTAATGAACTCTTGTTTAATCAAGCATAAGAACTGAATGTTTGATATTTTATCTAGTACATAAACTGCTCTTATCTAGGAAAACTGAAAATTTCTCGAGTCATTTTTCATACTCTTAATGATTTCATAGATTCAACTGTGTATTAGAAGGGATTTTAAGCCTTCGATCCCCTTCTCTTTTGTAGATGATGAAACTGGGGCTCTGAGTGGTGAAATAACTTGCTTAACATGACAAGTCTGTGGCACTGGAACATGTGCCAGTTTGTGGATACACATAGTGAGAGAGCACTGGTACGCCTTTGTTTCCTAGACCTGCAATTTTCTCTGAACTCATTCTTCCACCTTCCCTTGGCATCACCTAGTGAAGCAGAACTCCCTAAACCTGAAAATTGTATTGATCCTAATGCTCTAGCTTTCTTTCTTTATATGCTGACATTACCGAAGTGTGGGAGAACTTAAATGAGATTGGAAAGTTGGTAACCTCATTAGTATACTATGTGATATACAATTCCTTGTCTTTCACTTTCTCATCCAGAATCAAAAATAAAAGGGCGTGAATTGCTTCATACGAACTTTTCTTCCCAGATTTTCATTACCTGTCCAGACAGTTTCCTCCAAATTTCAAAAATGTTTATTTTGAAAGAATGAGAGAAATAAGACAGAGGTATCAATTAACAAGAACAATGGCACTGAAGAAAATACAATAATTTGTACTCCCCACACACACAATGCCCCACCCCTCTCCCCATCCCTGGCACAATAATAGTAAAACCATCAAAGCACATCAAACAAGGAGAAACAGCAGTACTGAATGAAGAAAGCAAAGTTTCATACTGCTCAATCCAACCAATCCATATCAAATATCCTTCCCCCAACTAGACTCCAGCCACTGTAATGATAAAGAGGTGTAGAGGAGACAACCACAGGAGTAACTGCGATCTCGGTTTACACTAGCAAAGTTCAGTGAAGATTCAATAGGAGTAATGAATCTGTTTGGCAGGGAAACACTGGATACAGCTCCTCTGTCAAGTTTCAGATGATTTAAGAGAACAACTAGAGTTTGAGATTCACAGATTTCTAATGGAACTAATCCCTGCTCCCTCAACCGTAATGGAGCAGCTGCCAAATCCTGGTTAGTTGCTGAGAGTAGTAGGAAGTGAGGCAACTTTTGGCTTAAGAAAATCCAAAAAAAATGTCTGGTAAAAGTTTACTGCTTCGATTTCAAACTGTGAGCAAAGATGCTTAGTAGGTTGAGTTGGGGCAAAGGTAAGGTGAAACTTCCAATTTTATCACTTGAATTAGATTATGTATTGACTGCATATATCCCTTATTTTAATTAAACTCAATATGGAGTATTTAAAATTTCAACAACTGTTACAGTGGAGGCTAACCAGTATAACTCAGTGTCTCGAATTGAAGCAACTGTCTCCTAAAGTGGTAAATTAAAGTTTTCAGCTGAATTTCCCTCATCCCACAGGAATACATCACTTGATTTATACCAGAAGTAAGCAGGATTCTCTTTAGAAGAGGTTTATTTTATTCTGCCCTCACTAGAATCAGTTTGTAAAGGGAAGGATACCTGTGCAGGATTAGTTCAAGATCAGAGCCTTATCCTCACACCTGCGTGCACAAGTGTGCACGCGTGTATGTGCACACACACACACACACACACACGCACAGACAGTAAATACATTTTCCCACACATAATTTTATAGTCACATGCTTGCTGGAGTCCATCTCACAAATACACTTCAACAGTTAGCCATATACATGTACATGCAGCAAGATGTGAGTTGCCCCAAAGTGATTAAAGGTGGTGCACATATGTCTATGTGGGGAGGTCATTTTAGGGTATAGGTGTACACAAGCCAGTAAGACCATTAACTTGCAGATCATATTTTTCCCTTTCCCTCAAGATAAATAAATCAAATGAAAAACACACACTGACATCTTCCTGGGTGTCATGGAGGCAACTGCCTGGAAGGTCCACTTTTTGCACTTCTGCTTTCCTATGACAACTTCATTTTGCCCTGAGGGGCCTTCTCATATAAGGAGGGCTGCTCCTCCGCATTCCCGGCATTCCCCGCTTGCCCCGGCAGTGGCAAGGGCTTCTTCTCAGAAGACCGGTCTTCAGGCTTGCGGGCAATCAGCAGGCGGCAGGTGAGCAGGATTCCAAACACCAGAGCATGGGCGTAGCGTTTGAGAGGATCACCGACTAGCTGATGGAAGAAGAGCACAGCCAACACCAGCAAGAGTAGGAAGAAGTTGGCCACATCTTTGGGACGCCCAGGCACAAGGGTCATGACAATGCCACAGGCCACCTCAAGAGCACCAATGCTTTTGCGGAGGAGGATGGAATTGATCCCCATTTTCTTCAGCAGAGGGAGGGCTCGGACATAGCTCTTGTAAGCACGTTTCTAGAGTGAAATACCACAAGGAATGCCACATTAACGTTGATTTTAACGTTAGAATGAAGAACACACAAGCAAGGGCTTCCTTCTGTCCCCACCAGGTTCCCCCCCCCCTTTTTTTTTTACTGTGGTTCCTAAATAAAAGCCTTGTAATGAAGATAAGAAAAAAAACAAGCGATCTTCTGAGATCCCTGTGATTTAAACCTTAGTAACAGCAGGGCACCTGGGTGGCTCAGTTAGTTGAGGGTCCAACACTTGATTTCAGCTCAGGTTATGATCTCAGGGCCATGGGACTGGGCTCTGCCCTCAGCATAGAGTCTGCATGTCCCTCTCCCTCTGCTCCTCCCCCCACTCACACTCGCTTTCTCTCTCTAAAATAAATGTTAAAATAAATAAATAAATAAAACTTAGTAACAACACCAAAGAGAATTTGGCTTTACAGTTAAAAATTATTTTCTGATTATAAATCACAAACAACACTAAAAGCATTTATAAGAAAATTTATTGGGCCCATAAAATCTGTTACAGATTAGCCACATTCACATTTTCTAGTGCCTGCCTCGTTCAAACCCAGATGCATACGAACACCAACAAAAATGAAACAAGGCAAGGCGCAGTATGATAAAGCCTCACTAATTTGGACTTCCCAAATTTGGAATCTGTGATAATTCGAAAAAAGCTAGGCAGGAGTTTACACTTGCAGAATCTGCAAAAATTAAAAAGTGAGTACTAAGTAAATAGAAAAATTAAAATGTGTGCAAATGTTAGCCCCTTATATATCTTTAAAATATAGTAAGATAAAAACTAGTCTCATGGTCAGTGAGATAAAAGTCCCAGGCCTTTACAAGATGCTACTTTGTTAGCCTGGTGCAAGTTCATTAATTTTAATCTAACAAATATGTATTGAACACCTACAATGGATTATGCGATGGAGATAAAAAGGTAAATAAGCCAGGGTCAAGAAGCTCTTGGTCTGGTGCGGGGAAATGGATACACAAAACGCCAGTATAAAGCAATATGGTTAAGGACACATAATAGACATCTGTATGAGGTCTAATTGTAGCCCAAAGGGAGACATCATACAACAGAGGAGGGAGTCACGGGATATATTACAAATTAATAAGATTATATTGACCTTAGGGTAATAGATAATCATATTTTTCACTGTATTCAGATGGGCCTGATCCTCATTTTGTAGTAAATCGATGAGATTTTATCAAGTGTCTTATTAGGTTGGCCCACTGCTTTGTTTTCAGTAAGTATCCATTAACCCATTCAATATTTATTAAGTGCTTCCTTGCACTAGGCACTGTCTAGGTACTTTGGATACAGATATCAATCATTCAAAGGCTCTTCTTTCCTAAAGCTTGAGTTTATATGAAGAGAAGTTATGGGTGCCAAACAAAATTATGCAGTAGAAACAGTGGAGGCATACCAGAGTGATCAAGTCTCCCTAGATGGAAACAGAGAAAAGCTAGAGTGGAATATTAAAGGAAGAGCAGGTGTTGGCAAATCAATAAGCAAAGGGCATTGTAGGCAGAAGAAACTGGATGAGCAAAGGCCCTGAAGCACCAAACAGACTTGTGTGTTTCAAACACTGCCCCAGTTCAGCATAGGTTGAGAGAGGGAGGGGTGAGAGTGAGACATGAAACAGGGGAGATAGATATGAATCATGGATCCTGAGAACTATATACATCCTCTTATATATGTCTATATATGTGTCACCAGGAGATCTTGGAGAACTATATATGTTGTGCTGTGGAGGTGGGTTTTATCCTATAAGCCAGGGCGAGCACCATAATTTGCTTTTGAGGAAGGTCCTTATGGAAATAGTGTGGAGGGTGCATTGGGAGAAGTATGCCTGGAAGCAAGGAGACCAAATAAGAGACTTAGATTAATGATAGGAGGGATAGAAGGAAGGGGACAGAGTCAAGAATATTTTTAATGCAATATCATAGAACTTAGTGTTATACTGGATGTGGGCACTGGGGGAAAGGGATAAGTCAAGAAAGATTCTCTGGTCTCTGGCTTGGGTATGTGGGTAGAAGGGTGTTACCATTCTCCAGGTTTGGGTATGCATCTGGAAGATCATATTGGGGGTGGGGCAAGGGGTAGGAAGGAGTAAGGGATTCAATTTGGGTTTTTTAGTTGAAGTATCTCTAAGACATCTAAGTGGAGATGTCTAGTAGGCAGCTCAGTAATAGAGGTCTAGAATAATGATACAGAATGGATAGTCATCAGTATCCATCCTGATGTATATATACATCAGTATGTATATATACAGTCTATATACAGCAGAATGTATATATGTATATATATAGTATAAATACAGCAGTATATGTATATGTATATATACAGTATATGTGTATATATGTATGTGTACATATATATACAGCAGAATGTATATATACAGTGGGAAAAATTGTGTGCATTTTGTGTGCAAAAACTGACATTTAAGAAATGGAAAGAGGAAGATGGTCCACAAAGCAGACAGAAGAGAGTGTGGTCAGAAAAGTAGAGGGAAAACCAAGAAAGACAGGGTCATGGGGGTCAAGGTTTTCAAGAAGAGAATAGTCAAAAGTTCCAGATGCAAGGCAAGTATCATAAGAATCAGGCAGAAAGCCAACTTGACCTCTTAGAAGCATCTGGCACTTAGAATAGTGTTCACACTCTCTAGATTTGGAACAAACGTCGTCATCTCTCTCACTTCTGGATCAGTGAATGCAACTTATTTCATGGATTAACTACCATAAGTGGCACAAGATAATCCTCTATGAGGACTGTTAAAAGACCAATGGTTTAGTGGGAAAAAAAAACATAATTTTTATTCAGACAGACTTGGCTTTAAATCTCATCTCTGTCACTTTCTAGTGGGGTGTCCATAGGCAAATTATTTGACCTCTCTGAGCCTCATTTTCCTGAGCAGGGTTAAGAATAAAGTGAAATGAGCCAGGCTATTTGCCTTGAATGTAAAATTTAAGAAGGCACCAAAAGGATTTCTTGAATAAGGTAAATGATATCATTAATGAGTAAAATATCAAAGCTTCAGATAAAGGCAGGATCCAGCTCTGCACTTACACAACCCTGCCTCATTTATCTCTTCCCAGTCCTGGCCCTGTCAGATCCTGTCTTTAAAATTTCACCTCACCCTAGTCCCTATCCTATTCCTGAGCATGTAAAGAAACACAGAGGGTTAGTCATTCTTCCTCCCTCTTCCCATTTTAGGTTAAATCAGGGAGTCCCAGAGAAATTAGGAGAGATGTTGATGAGTTGGCAGAGTAAAACCCTGGGTTGAACTGCAGGAGACCCATATGGAGCAGAGCAGAGGTGGTGAGGAGAAGTGTACCCATTTCCTCTCACTATTAATCTAGATGCCACCTGCCCACTCTCTCCCTCTCTGCACTCTGGTGAGAGTGGCAGGGCAACATCAGGGAAAGAGGTCTAGACACAAGAGTCTTCTTCAACACTTTTAAATGAGGACCATTTCTAATTAACAACACAAAGCTTCCCAAAAGGCAGTTCCTAAATCCCAAATGTAAGCTTCTGACATGATGAAGGCAGGAGGCAAGATGAGTTTCTTACAGTCAGTTCAGAGCCAAGACTTCCAGATGCTGGCTGAGTGGCTTCTGGAAACACTCCTTTTTTGGCTAAGGCTAACCACCCATCATTCAAGAATAGATTCTTAACTATACTATAGTGGAATCCGTAGCCTGGGGCCAAATTCCAGGTCTTTAAATCAAGTTCCCATGACTTCAGTGATCTTTTTTTTTTTCTTTACATTTGGTGTAACTCCATATTACTTTATCAGTTGTTTATCTAACTTCTTAAACTACCACTGTGGATCTTTAATGCAGCTGTTGCCTCTTTTTTTTTCTCTTTCTTTTCTCCAGAGGAAACTGCACATGGATAAGCCATTTCATCAAATCTTTAGTGCAAAGCTGAGTAGGTACAGATAGCATCTATTCTCCAGGACTTCAGACAGGGAATGTTTAATTTGTTAGAAATGGGACTAAGCTTGGATGGAGTCTTGACATTATAGGAAGGCCTTTATTCTTTCTCCTGTGGAGTAGGATGGAGACATCAAAAGAATCCTACTATTGCCAGCCCCATCAGTGTTTGGTCTGGGCCACATCAGTTCTAACAATAGAAGGGTCACATGTCTTGAATCTATAGTAACTAGAGCTCTAAAGACTTTAATTGTCCTGATGGTAAGAATAAAGAGAGTTGACTGAGTCACTCTCCCAAAAGGCTCTCACAATTCACTTTGTTAGGTCTGTTTCCCTTCCATTGCAATGACCCAGACCCTGTAACCATAGTTTCCTTATAGGGCAAGGAAGCAGGGAAGAAGAGTGTTTAGTCAAATGTTTCAAATCCCTTTCATAGAAAGCAATTGTCCAACAATATCCTTGGGCTGAGATTTTTAAGATAGGCTTAATTTCAATTTTAGTTTTGCCCCTAAGTTGCTTAGAGAAAATCACTAAGCATTTTACTATCTGGGTTTCCCCTTTTGTAAATTAAATGAACATTTTGGAGATTTAGTTAAAAAAATCATAACATCATGGTATCAGACAAGGGCCACACAGAGACACACACACACATTTCATTATCAGTGAACCATACAATGAGAAGTCCATGCATTTGCAAGCAAACCATGGTGATTATTTTAATGATAATAGCGGTGAATCAAACAGGTCCATTCTTATGGTATGAGAAGATACGATTCAGACATGAGTCAAAAGCATATGGAGCCTTTCTTTAGTCATACCCTTTCTCTTTTTGTCATTTACTCTTCAGAACAACGTAGGGTCCATGATCTCATATTAATGACATTTATTTGAAGAGCTCAAAACCATCTAATTGCATTTATCTTCAATTGCAGTTAATTACTGATCCAAGTCAGCTAACAGGACAAAATGGGAACAGAAACCAAGTGGTTTGATCCACTTCAGTACACTTATGCCAGTTAGGTAAAGAAAAAAATGGCTAATCCACTGTAAATTCCATTTATATAAAGTTCAAAAACAGTAAAACTAACTTATGTTGTTAGAAGTCAGGAAGATAATAACCCTTGGGGAGGTAGTAACTGGAAGGGGCCATGGGGAGGCGGGTTTCAGGAGAGCTGGTGTGTTCTTGATATGGGTGCTGGTTACACAGGAGTATTCTGAAAATTCCTTGAGCTGTACATTTACGTTAGATGCACATTTCAGAATGTATGTTACACTTCACTAAAATTTACAGAGGAAAAAAAAAACTATGAAAGCCAAAGAGGGCACTGACAAAAATACATTTTGGCTAAAATTCTCAGCTTCGTTGATATCTTAGACCATAAAGGCTCATAAATGCTGCAAAATATACTGACTCGAATATGATTTCCCTGCATCTTTGTAGGGGAAAAAGCCAAATGTGAGTTATTGATTATTTCTTCAATGCAATAAAAAGCCATCACGTGTTTAATTGCCAAATATCCATGTGAATTATAAACACATTTTAAGCAATTCCACTTTCTGCTGTCATATAGTACCAACCTACAGAGGAAGCTGGCGAATCTCGTCCTACTAACCAAAGTGGATCCTTCCCAGATTGCATTTTAGGGCAGAAGGCTTCAACTATTAGTCAAAGGTCACTTTGAAACAAGCATAGCTCTTGGCCATTGAGAAGCTACACGTTCCCTGGCATCACCTCCAGTGGAGTTTAGCTTGAGATGGTTGAATGTATGAATTAAGCAAAGTCACTTTCCATCTCAGGGTCAGTTTCCTCTCTGATGGAATAAATGTACTGTACCACCTCAGAGAGCGGTCTAAGCATCAGTGAATTACTATCTTATTACCTAGCTGGAAAGCAATTAATCGCAGTGATTGGAAGCATAAAAGATTACCTAAGGACATTAAATAAACTACCCAAACATCTGGAGTGTTTCCCCAGGGATATACAAACCCTAGGGCATTTAACTATAGATAAGCCAATCAAACAAACAACAAACCTTCACTTTGAGGGGATAAGAAGAAGCAGAGCCTTGCCCTGTTCTTAGCGCCAAAATCCCTTGGCTTCATTGTGACGGGATTTTGGTGTTTTCTCACTATTCTGCGTGTAGCCCCTTTTGATTACAGAATGGAACCACTGCCTCAAAGAGCTGAATACCAAATTTAGAGCAAGTCAACCATTTGTTTGTTCCCCATCACTGCCCAGGAAACTGCTTAGCAGCATTTCTATGTGCTGTCTCCCAATTTCAAGTGAATTAATGAAGGCATTTAGTCAAGGGAGTGATCAGTCATGTTGAGTTCATGTGGGCTTTAGAGTACTCTATAATGACATTTGCTAAATCTGGAGGAGGTATGGGGCGACACACACCAAATGGGCAATTCAAAGAGACATCTGGAAGTTCTGCATGGAATCCACTGTGCATTAACTGGCAGCAAGTGTGGAGCTTTCAAAATTAGCTAATTGCGTAAAGGTCTGTTCACCAGGGCACATGAAAATAGCATCTTGCTCTTTTAAGTGCCTGATTTCAATCCCTTAAACTGACCGTTCAGATTAGTCAGGAAGCCCCTGCATAATGCAGAATCAATTATTACCATCACTTCACCCAGAACATTTCTTGAACACTGGCTATATGTAAATTACCACTGTACCAGATGCTTCCATATATAATCTCAACTAATACTTACAACAACCTTCTAAAGGAAGAATTATTATCCTCATCTCACAGATAAGGAAACTGAGGCACTAGGAATGTCAGGACTCAAGCACTAACCTATATGACTGAAAGTCTGTGCTCTTTCCATTAACCATTCCTGGTTTCTGCAGTATACAGGAAAGAAGTTAATCATTGGTCCGTAGGGTTTTCAGCCATGATTCCTCACAGAGGGGACAACACCTAAGCATAACACTAATGGTTTTAGAACAAGAAAAATAAACAGTGACAAAAAAGAAAAAAGAAACAAAAATCTAAATTTGAAATTGGTTTCAAAGTAAAGGTTTGAATTGGTGTAGTTGAACGGTTATAAAAAAGAAGCAAGAATGTGCCAGATATGTTCAAGAATCAGTTGCAAGTTCTGACATCCAAAAAGGCAGTTGTAATCATTAATGACCCCTCTACTGAGAAGATTCAGTCACGGACTTGGTTTCTAATCTCTGCTCCCACAACAGCGTACCCTATGATATTGGATCAGTTTGATCCATCAGTAAAATAAGAATAACTAATAAGATGAATTTACCTCACTGATATGTTTTAAAGAACAAATAATCTTTAAACAACAACACTTTGAGATCTTGTAAGAAAAGCTGCTGCAGTCAATGAATGACTGTCAATGCAGAGGAATCACTCCTAAATGGAAAACAGAAAATCCCAGATAATCAGCCTAGCTGATCTAGAGTTGGGGTCCTTAGGGGCCATACCGCCTTCTGAGAGCAAGAAATGGCTCCTGAACTACATAATCAAGATCGAACCAGAGAACTCTGAAGGGTGGTGACCAGCCAAGACAATGCTCCAATGACTCATTCATTCACTCATCCATTCAACAAATATAAATCGAGTCCCTTCTTTGTACTAGAACTTAATTTTTCCCATTTCCTTTGGACTTAAGAATAAAGCTTGGCCAGCTCAGAACTGGTGCAGTGGCCCCTATGCTGGACAGCCCTCCCCAGCCTGGGGCCAATGTTCAGTGCAGGAGGGGACCCTGGAAAAGGCAATCTGAAAATCCTCCTCAAGCTTCATACTACTGTGAAGTCTACCTCCCAGCTAGATATAGTTCCTCCATTCTTTCCAGATACCCCTGAACACATAAGCACAGAACTGTGCTTGTACACACACACACACACACACACACACACACATTCACAATGGTTCTATACTGCTGTATTAGCTTATACTTATATAAATATGTTCCTTTGTATGATACGAAATCTTGACATTGGTTTCTTCTGCCTTTCAGGAGACTGCAAAACACAGCTCCACTCCCTAGGAAGAAACCTACTGTAAACCCATTTGTGGCTGGTCCTCCTCGTGAGCTCCTGCCAAGCTGGTAAGAAGCTTCCCGGTGACTCCATTTTAGCTGGATTGCCTGCAGATCCTAACAGTGTACTTAGGGTACAGGTTGGGGGGACCTCTAACACAGTGGAGGAGGGCCTGGGGGCTGGGAAGTATATTGAAGAAGGCTACTATGTCCTAAGAAAAGGAAAAGTCAAAAATACCTAAGGTTCACACACAAACATATTAATACATGTATATATGAAAAGTAAAGAAAAGCAATAGCATTTCATTTACTTGTAATCTAAACTAAACTACTACACTGAAACCAAAATATAGTGGCGTTTCACCTCCACCAGGTCCCTCTGCATTTGGTGGCATCTGCTACCCCACCTCCCCTCCCCTCCCCAGTGCAGGCTGCCTTGGATTCTCATTTTGACCTGATTTCAATCCCATCTGGCCAAACATGCTGGGAGGAGGGGAAGGGAGAAGGAGAAATACATTAGTATTTGCCATTGGGGCTAGACCTAGGCGCTGGAGTCCCAGCCACCCTCCCCCACCCCCAGGGTGATCCTGTGGTGAGAGAGACATGGAAAGCACCAGCTCAAACCCTGAGTCAGAAACCAGAGCTGCCTGCAAACATTTTCTAGCATCTACAATTCACCAGTCTCCATCTATTTGCAGCTCACGTTGAGGGGCTCTGGAAGGCTCCGCAGTGGGCTCCAGGAGAGCGCTATTTATTCCTCTCAACGTGTGGGGCTATTCCTCCTTGACTCAGCCCTAATGGAGAGACCCTCTTCCCTCTTTTCTCTCTCCCTTCCTGTTCCTCCCCTAAGCTCCTTTCCTTCTTGACCTTGAGAGCCCAGTAATGGGTTTGGCAGTCAGGCAAAGGCAGTGAGAAGCAGGTTCTCTTCAGCCAGGGTGGGGAAATGAAGAGGCAAAGTGACAGGGGGGGAGACGCGAGACCGAAAGTGCTGGAAACATACCCTGCCATCTCCTCACACTCTACAGCATAGGAACAAGTCCTCTTCACGCCCAACTGGGGAGAGCAGCCCAGCCCCCAGGTTGCAGAGGAAATGTTTTGGCCAGTCACCTTCGGTGATTCCAACTCTGCAGAGGGGAAAAACTGCAGAGGACCTGACCCCGGGCATCCACAAGAGGCAAAGTGGGGATTATGGACTATTTTGCAGGAGAGCAGAGGCAGACTTTGCAGATTTTGCAGATTAGCCCAGAAACAAAACAAAACAATACAAAACAAAACATCAAGGTCTCCCTTGAGAGAAGAGGAAGAAGCAGGCACTCAGTGACCTTTATTTGGGCCAAGACTGCTTTGTCTCAAGGATACAGACACACACCCAGGCAGCTAGGGATCAGCTCTCAGCCAGGGATGAGTGCCTTTCCCGCCCCTAAGAAAGGCTTGTTTTAGTAGCCTGTTCTCTCCCAGCTCTTTCCGTCCTTCCCCTTTGTTCTTCCCTAAGATAAATAAACTCTCCAGCCTGCTAAACTCTTAGCTCCAAGGGAAGGAATCAGACTTGCAGACTGCTTGCCCGGACTTTGGGTGTGCTAGAAGGAGGGAAGGATTCCTGCCCAATGACAGGTGTTACGCAGGTCTCAGCCTTCTGGTTTACTTGGAGGTGGGGGTGTACTCGCTGGGCAACCCCTCCCCCAACTGGCATCCAGTGGCTCCAAAACAGTTGCTCCCAGCATAGCCTACAAATGAAATCGCTCTTGTCCAGCTGCACCTTCGAAGCTGCAAAGTTGTTGGGGAGAAGGTATGGTCCGGGGTGGGGGTAGGGGTTAAGGGGACGTGACCATGGACTGGGAAGGAAAGAAGGGGAGAGGTACTCGCAATCCCTGGGGGGTGCGTCCCTCGTCACCCGTTTGCTTCACTTACCATCTCAGTGTAGGCATCCTTGCTGAGCCTGGGGGTCAACTTGATAGTTCCCATGAAAACAAAGAAGAGTCCCAGGGCCACTGAGAGGGCCACAACAGTTACGGTTCTGGGGGATGCCATGGGGTCACCAAGGCAGGTCCCAACTAATCCTTCTGCTTTGCGCACCCCGTCTGTCTAAGGCGCAGGCAGTTAGCACAGAGAGAGCTAGAGGGACGCTGCGGAGGCAGCAGGCAGCTAGAATGACAAAGGGAGAGGAGGGAGCTCGAGAGAAAAATTGAGAGATCGAGATTCAACCTCTCTCACTACAACAATCTCTGGGTCCTAATGCCCTACTCTTACTCCTGGCCAAAAGCACAGTCTGGAAGTTAAAGAAGACCTAAACTGAGGTGGGAACTTCACGTCTTAAAATGGGTGGAAACTAGGTTATGCTTCGAGTTCAGTCCCTGGGCTGCCTCTGGAATGAGGAATCAGGGAAGACCTCCTTCCCACCACTTCCCACCAGGCGCACTTTTCATCTCTAAGTTATTTACTCCCTTTTTGCCACCTCCCTCCTTTTCTCCCCTTTTCCTTTCCCTCAGTCAAAACAGGAGTCCTCAGTTTGCTTGTTTCTGCAGTGGGTAACACTCAAGGATAAAACGGCAAAGTTGTCAGGCTCCATTGCTACTGAAGAAAGCTTTATCTTTCTCTTCCTGGAAAACCGTTAATGGCTCCCATTGCCCAGCGATTAACTCCAGAGTTTTAAATTTGGCATTTTGACCTCTACCTCTCTTTGGAAATTTATCTTCCAATAGCTCCCATGCCACCCTTTCTCTCCCATCTCCTCAGGGCCCCAGACAACCTGAGCTTTCCCACCTCCCCTACGTTCCCTTTCCCTAAGCCATCACTCTTCTCTAACATTTAACCTTGTCTTCAATGTTATCTCTTCCATAAAGACTTCCCTGATCCATTCCCAGCAGGATATGGTTTCTCCCTCCTCTGATTTCCTGAAATAATAACCAATGTCTGTTTACTAAGTTTACTAAGTGCAAGACAACCACCCTTTACCTGTATTAACTCATTTAGTCTTTACAGCAACACTATGAGCTAGGTACGAGCTCCCACTTTATGGATGGACCTCTGAGGCACAGGAAAATAACTTGCTCAAGAGTATATGCTAACTAGAAAGTGGAGAGCCAGAATTCAAACCTAAGCAGTCTTAACCTGGGTTAAGAGCCCAGGTTCTTGGGCACCTGGGTGACTCAGTCACTGGGCGTCTGCCTTTGGCTCTGGTTGTGATCCCAGGGTTCTGGGATGGAGCCCTGCCTTGGGCTCCCCGCTGGGCAGGAGGCCCACTTCTCCCTCTCCCTTTGCCGCTCCCCCTGCTTATGCTCTCTCCTCTGTCAGATAAATAAATAAAATCATAAAAAAAAATAGAGGGGCGCCTGGGTGGCTCAGTTGTTAAACGTCTGATTTCAGCTCAGGTCATGGTTCTAGGGTCGTGGGATCAAGCCCCATATCAGGCTCCCTGCTCAGCAGGAAGCCTGCTTCTCCCTCTCCCACTCCCCCTGCTTGTGTTCCCTCTCTGTCTCTCTCTCCTTGTCAAATAAATAAAAATCTTTAAAAAATAAAATAAAATAAAGAGCCCAGGTTCTTAACCATTGCTCTATTGTCTCCCCATATACTTCATACTCTGCATCGTAACTATGGCACTGACCTGATTCTGCTTTGCACTATAATTACACACACACACACACAGACACACACACACACACCTTTTTGATGAGGCAGTGTTCATTAAGTGAAATAATAGTCTGGAGTCAGGTCCAGAAGGTCCAGGGTTTAAATGCCAGCTCTGCCACTAACTCTGTAAACTTGTCACTTAAGTTCTCTGAGCCTCCATTTCCACATTTATAAAATGTCTATGAAAATTCCACCTCAAAAGTTTGTTGTAAGAATTTGATATAAGTAAATCGCCTAGCACAGTGTCTAACATAAAATGATGTAGTTCCCTTCTGTGTCTTTTGCCTTCCTAATCTGCTCCACAGTTTAGCTTATAAGCATTTCAAAAGTAGGAACAACTTTTCTATATCCCATAGTACCTAAAACAACGCCTTCTGTGCACCAGATCCTGATAAATTTTCCTTGGAGGGGGAACTGAAGAAATTTAAATACACATATTATCCCTGGGAGTGGTAACACTTGAAGGTTCAGCAATCATTTACATCTTATTGTGAAAGATTTTCAGCCTTTGTGGTTATGATTCGACCTATAAATTACTGAGTTCTACAATGCACATACAAGTGAATTAGGCACTATAGGAATTATATACCATTTTGCTTTCAAATTACATGATAACGGGAATAATAATATTCCTCATAAAATGAACAAAATACTGAATAATAATACTACTAATAAATATAAGAGAAAAATAATTTCTGATCCCAACATGCCGAAATGAACATTATTCTGATTGGTCAATATTCTAATTGACCTTTTTCTTAAATATTTCTCTATGTACAAAATATATACAAATTAGTTTTTCAAAATTTGATCTTACTATAGAATCAGTTTTATACACTGCTTTTCTTTTTTCACTTGTTAGCATTTTTCCATATTATTAAACCGTCTTCGTAAACATTATCTTTCTGGGCGCCTGGGTAGCTCAGTCAGTTAAGTGTCTGCCTTCAGCTCAGGTCATGATCTCAGGGTCCTGGGATGGAGTATCAAATCCAATTGGGCTCCCACCCTGCTCAGTGGGGAGTCTGCTTCTCCCCCAGCCCCGCCCCCCATTTGTGTACACAGGCGTGCACACACGCTCTCTCTCAAAAATAAATAAAATCTTAAAAAAATCTTTCTGAAATGATGGTATAATACTTCAACATCATTTGAATGTACTATGTATATTTCATTTGACTATTCTCCTATTGCTAGGTATTGTTTTCATGGTTTTTGCTTCTGCAAGTGAAGTTTCAGTGCACACCCTTATATATCAATCTTTGTCTAAATTCTTGAATTTTTCCTTAGGATAAATTTCTAGAAGTTGGATGGGTCAAAATTATGATCTTTTTATATGTGCATATTTTTAATATGTATATATTTAGTAATAGCTAACATTTACTTATCACCTAGAGGATGCCAGACATTATGCTAAGTGACTTGCATGTATTGTGAGATTAGTACTATTAATTCCCTCCATTTTATAAATAAGAAAACGAAGCAAGGAGTGAAGCAGCTCCCCAGATCCAGAGCAGGGCCACCAGCTATTGGGGTATTCAACTTAAACCTCTGCTGTTCCTCCATTTACTGTTGCTGCTCCTTTAAATCATTTAAAGATATGAATGTTTAAAAGACTCTTGATACATATTACAAATGGGCTTTCCAAAAACAAAATTTACCTTCCCATCAGCAGTTTAGAAGTATGTACACATCACCACATCCGATCTGCATTAAGGACTTCAGTGTTTTTCATCCTCACCAATTTCATTCATAAATATTTGTCTTTTGTGGGTTATTAGCATTAGAACATTTTTTCATATATTCATTGGTCAAATGTATACCTTCTGTTTATGTCATTTTCCATTTTTATTCCATTTCCATTTTTATTTTGACCGTTGGTGTTTTTTTTTAAAGATTTTATTTATTTATTTGACAGATATAGAGCACAAGTAGGCAGAGAGGCAGGCAGAGAGAGAGGAAGGGAAGCAGGCTCCCCGCTGAGCAGAGTCTGATGTGGGGCTCAATCCCAGGACCCTGGGATCATGACTTGAGCCAAAGGCAGAGGCTTTAACCCACTGAGCCACCCAGGTGCCCCGCGTTGGTGTTTTTTGATCGATTCATGAGAGCTCTTTATATCATACTGACATCGATTATCTTTTAAATATCTTTCCCAGGAGCCCTGTGTGGTTCAGTCGTTAAGCATCTGCCTTTGCTGAGGTCATGATCCCAGTGTCCTGGGGTGGAGTCCCACATTGGTGAGGAGAAGCAGGGATGAGTCTGCTTCTCCCTCTCCCACTCCCTCTGCTTGTGTTTCCTCTCTCACTCTCTCTCTCTCTGTCAAATAGATAAATAAAATCTTTTAAAAATTTTTTTAAGAATAAATAAATACCAGGGTGCATGGGTGGCTCAGTGGGTTAAGGCCTCTGCCTTAGGCTCAGGTCATGATCCCAGGGCCCTGGGATCAAGCCCTGAGTAGGGCTCTCTGTTCAGCAGGAAGCCTGCCTCCCACTCTCTCTCTGCCTGCCTCTCTGCCTACTTGTGATCTCTGTCTGTCAAATAAATAAATAAAATCTTTAAAAAAAAGAATAAATAAATATTTTTCCCAGTTTATGTTTGCCAATAAATTTAATGGAGTCAAGTCTAGCAATACTTTTATGGCTTTTCCATTGCTTTTTTGTTTAGAAAATCTTCCCCATCTCAAAATTTAGCATTTGCTTCTACTTTTTAAAGCTGTTTTATGCTTTCTTTCTTTTTTTCCACATTTCATATGTTGATGAATTCTGTCCTTGTTGGTCTGTGATGCTTCCTTTATTGTATATTGGGTTCTTATCTTTTTACTTGGTCAGTCTGAAGGCTTCTAGTCCATTGATTCGTTTGTTGATTCTTGTGACAATATAATAATGTGGTTTTTTGTTTTGTTTTTAAAGATTTTTTTTATTTATTTATTTGTCAGACTGAGAGAGCGCCAGCACGCACAAGCAGGCAGAGGCAGAGAGAGAAGCAGGCTCCCTGGAGAGCAAGGAGCCCGATGTGGGACTCGATCCCAGAACCCTGGGATCCTGACCTGAGACGAAAACAGCAGCTTAACTGACTGAGCCACCCAGGCGCCGAAAATAATGTTTTAAGTGTTATAACTTATGTATACATTTTAATATCTTGTAAGCCAAGTATCTCATCATTGTTCTTTTTTTGAAAATTTCTTTGCTATTCTCTCTGTTTATTCTTTTAGGTGAACTTAGAATCACTTCATCACTGTAAAATAACTTTGAATCTTGACTGGATTGACTTAAACATATAATTAATTTTTAAAAGCTGTCGTCTTACAAAATTTAGCTTTCCCATCCAGAAATATGGCATCAATTTCCATTTATTCAAATCCTAGTTGCTCAGAGATATACAAATATCCTTGTTTTCTTTGTGTAAAGCATATGCCTTTTTTAAAAAAGTTATTTCTAGGGGCACCTGGTTGGCTCAGTCAGTTGGGCATCTGCTTTTGGCTTGGTCATGATCTCAGGGTCCTGGGATCAATCAGGGTCCTGGAAT